TGTTAGCCTGAAATCTGTCACTTGTGCTTTCTGGTCAGCCCTGCAAAAGAGGCTTAAATTTGATGTGCGTGTGCCTCCTTCTGTGTTATATTGCTGATAGTAAATGAGTTGAGTAATTTTTACCTGCAGTAAGCAGAACCGAGTTCAGTTTGCAGCTCTGTGAGCCTCCTGTCAGGGTATATATACACAGAGGATTAGATTTATTTCACTGACTTAGTTCTGGCTCCTCAGAGATTTGTTACTTAGTGGTGGTGTAAAGCCCCAGGATGTGTGCCAGGAGTAGGAATGTATGTGCATACATGTTATCAAACAGCTCTGAGCTTGATTTCTTTTTTTTGGGGGGGGGGGGGGGGGGGCTTTTTGCTTTGTTTTGTTCTGTTTTCCAAGCAGTAGTCTAATTTACTTCTGCATCAGATCCTAAGCAGTGAGATACAGATGCAGCCTCAACTCCTCAAGTACATTTATTTCAACATCTTAAGAAGACAAATTCAACTTATGAGAACTTTCTACACAGTCTGTTGCATTTGACAGATGGTACCATCTTCTTACCTCTCCTTGGGGCCTTACAGTGCTGCATTGCAAGACTGATGTGTATGCACGTATAATGAATATTTAAAACTTAATCTGTTCAAATGCTCGATGAAAACTGTGACGGTGCACTATAGCAGATAGGAAAATGATTGTCTTCTATTTCGTTTTATTTTCCTTTAGTCATTCTGAAAACAAATTTGAGAGGAGAAATGTTTGTCCATTTTTAGAAGTCAGAGGAGCTAAATAGTGCTGTGCTGCAGAGGGGCCTCGGTGGTAGAGCCTGCTGCCGAACAAGCTCTCCGCTTCAGCGGGGATGGGAGTGCCTGTCAGCCGTGATACCGATCACGAGGGAGGCTTCGGGAGCCAGAACAGCATAAGAACTGTACTTAGGCAGTTCTTCAGGAGGCAGCCCAGCTTTGTGCTCACACAGGGGGGAATTGAGGGGAAAAAAAACCCAAAACTCAACCAAAAAAAAAAAAAACCTAAATCAAAGCCAGAGCATCCAAACTAATATGCTGAAGCGGTGTGTGTTCATCAGCATTTCTGAAAATGCTGCCAAATTCTCACTTTCCAGCTTTTATTCACCGTCAGAGTTATGTTTCTGGGTGTTTTCCCCCCCCCCAGTGACAGTAGCAGGAACTGATGTCTGTCTTCTGTGACCTTGGCATGCCATAGGCCATAGGACCCTTTTCTTCCCCAAAACAAAGAAAGCTAATGAGCAACAGAACTGACTCCTAGAACCTTGTGGTAGAAAAGAATCTCTGCAGGCCTCTTCAGAGGCTGAGAGGAGGAGGGTGGGTTAAGCTATACAAGGAGCTTCCCTGTGCTTGTATTGCCTCAGCCTCGCTGGGCAGAGGTGGAAAGAGAAGTGTTGCACTTCTGAGCAACCTGGCTGCAGGTTTCCCAGCGGTGGTGGTGAGTGAGTTTAGGATGTCACTTGCTGCTGCCTCTGCAGCAGAGGAGAGGATGCATTTGCTCTTCAGCTGCTGCAGTTCATGTTATAGTGGTGGCTCAGGCTGCTGAGGATGAAGAGAGTATTTCCATTTCTGCCGCATCAGTGCCGGGCAAGAAACCTTTGTCAGAAGGGAAGGGACAGCTATTGAGAGTAGTGTCATATACTGGAGATGAGGACTGAGATTTGGAGCCTTATGGTCTATAGTGGTGATACCTGTGAGTGTATTTTGTGGAGTAATCAGCAGAACTGTTGGGAGAAAAGCTTTTAGGTGTTTTTGTGACTTTTTTGTGAGTGTAATGGGTTGCAGCACTGTCCTGTGGTGGGAATGAATCTGCCTGAAGTCAATAGTTAAGTATTGTTTGCAGATTCACAGCTTGTCTCTATGGTTCATTCCATTACTTTCTAGCTGTTGTAATTAAATGTAGCACAATCAGTGATTGTGGGGGAGTTCCTGGTGTGCTTGAATGCGTTATTATTACTGGCATTGTCTTCACTGGCAAAGATGAAAGTGAACCCTTTCCCCTGTTATTCCCATCTTCCGTATGTTACCTTTGTCGCTTCTGTCCTCTTTCTTCATGATTCAGCATACCGTATGAGGTTGCTCAAAGTTAACCATTTTAGTAAATGTCTTTCAACCAAGCTAAAGAAACCCCCAAAACACCCCACTATTGTATAGTCTGATTCTGTCAGAGAAACATGAACCTGACATCTGCTTTGCCACTGTACAGACTCCTGGCAGGCTCTGGAAAAAAAGGAAAATTTCCCATGTCTTTCCAATTCCTTGTGCAAGCCATGATTCAGCAAGGCAGCCACGAGGACGATGGTGCAAGAGAGATTATGCCTAGCTGCTGTTAAATAAACAGCCTCCTTTTTCTCTTTGTGGGAGAGAGCTGAAAAGGAGCTTCAGGGGGTATTTGCACTCCTCTTTCTTTTTCCCCTTCTTTAATCCCACCTCCAGTCACTGGCCATAATGCCAAACCTCCACAGCAATTTCAAAAGTACTTCCTGATGCTGTGGAAACTTTCCCTGCATAATGAAGACAAGGAAGGGATAAAGGAGAGGGGAACTGCTCTTTTCTTCACTCAGCTGTCAGAAAGAGACTAGCTGTTTGTATTAGAACCTGAACAAAATGATTGATTTTTAACTTCTGAGGATGACTGAAGGATCAGACTTTTGTTTCTTTAAGTGATTTGTTGTGACTGAAGCTGGACTAGTGTATTTAAACTATGAATTCTAAGCTGCTGTGCATTGAAATGGTCTTTCGTGCAAAATAGTTTTGGATCTAGCACTTTATTTTTATGTCTTTGAAACAGTTATTCATAAATTATAGTACCTTGAGTTAGCAAATCAGTCACATGTCTCAAGTTTTTCTGAAAAGCTGAGGTTTTATTAAACCACAGATTTAATGATTTTGAAGGATTTTGTTGGACTGCAGTTGATGGAGACAGTCCCTTAGTGGGAAGCTGGTGCCTGAGCTCTTTCTGCCACTCCAGTCTGCTCTACCAGCCCTGCAGCTTCTCTTCCTCCTGACTCTTCAGGGAATTATTATGGGCTTGGAGGGCCAAGTCTGTTCTTGTCTGGTTTCATATGCAGGTTGGTTGTTTATCCTTATATCCTGCTCCTGCTAATATCAGGCAGTACAAAAATACAGAGAAAATAATAGGACTTATTTTAGAAAGATAAAAAAAGGGCTACTCATGGTGTCACTTTCTTCACATAGCATAACATTCTGATGTTAAAGTTATGTGATATGCTTATTTACCTACAATTTATTTAGCTGCCTGATTTAATGTCTTTGTTCAAAAGGAGAAGTGCTTTCTTTTTTGTTCCCATCTGGATAAGTAAGTACCCTGTATCCTGCTTTTTTGTGATATTAGCATAAGCCCCACTTTAATATGACCATCTATATCTCATTTGGTGGTTCAGATGAGAAATTTGTATGTCTCAAATAAGTTGCATGCATTTTGTCTAAACAAAATGTAACGTTAGGGAAGCATTTGGAGTTAAAATCCCTGTGCTGACACCAGCTGTTAGATTGCAAGGTTCTTAAATTTTTTCCCATATTGCAGTGTAGGTACTGGAAAATCTAGAAGATCCTGTAGATAACTTGCAACATCTGAAAGAACAATTACTGAGTGAACTGGGAATATTGTTAGAGGATGGGAATCACAGTCTGATTCATGACAGCATCCCTGCAGCTAGGTTTGAATGTTGCAGGTCAATTTATCAGTCCATCATCAGGCAGAGGGCTTGAAGGCGCGTTTGTCTAGGTGGGTGCTGCACAGCTTTGACTGCTGGTCCCCACTGGTCTTTAAGTAGATGGAGAAACCAGCACATGTTCAGTTTTTAGTTGCACTGCCAGAATTTTACTTTATGCTGCCTGTGCCTCTGAAGGTGTTTGTGCAGAAATTATGTTTTCATGGGTGTTTATGTTGATAATTTTAATCGTTCTTGAGCCCTTCTTCTCTGCTCTCGTGAGACCTCACTTGGAGTATTGTGTGCAGTTCTGGTGTCCTCAACATAAAAAGGACATGGAACTGTTGGAACAAGTCCAGAGGAGGGCCATGAGGATGATCAGGGGACAGGAGTACCTGCCGTATGAAGGTAGGCTGAGAAAGTTGGGGCTGTTCAGCCTGGAGAAGAGAAGGCTGCATGAAGACCTCATAGCAGCCTTCTGGTGTCTAAAGGGGGCCTATAGGGATGCTGGGGAGGGACTATTCCTTAGGGACTGTAGTGACAGGACAAGGGATAATGCGTTAAACAGGGGAAGTTTAGATTGAATATAAGGAAGAAATTCTTTACTGAGGCACTGGAATGGGTTGCCCAGGGAGGTTGGAATGCTCCATCCCTGGCGGTATTTGAGGCCAGGTTGGACAGAGCCTTGAGGGGCATGGTTTAGTGTGAGATGTCCCTGCCCATGGCAGGGGGGTTGGAACTAGATGATCTTAAGGTCCTTTCCAACCCTAACTATTCTATGATTCATGACATAAACCTCTTGCTTTGTGTCATGTGGGGCCTCCAGCACAAGAGGGACATGGAGCTGTTGGAGCAAGTCCAGAGGAAGCCACGGGGATGCTCTGAGGACTGGAGCAGCTCTGTTCTGAGACAGACTGAGAGAGCTGGGCTTGTTCAGCCTGGACAAGGCTCCAGGGAGACCGTAGTGCAGCTTCCAGTGCCTAAAGGGGCTACAAGAAACCTGGAGAGAGGCTTCGGTCAAGGACCTTTAGGGACAGACAGGACAAGGGGGAATGGCTTTAACCTGACAGAGGGGAGATTGGGATTAAATATTAGAGAAAAAATCTTCCCTGTGAGGGTGCTGAGGCCCTGGCACAGGGTGCCTAAAGAAGCTGTGGCTGCCCCATCCCTGATCCCACATCAGTGTCTGCCAGTGCAGTGCTTACTGAGTTCTTCAGAGTTGAATTATACCTCCTTTCCCTGTTGTCCAGCCGAAGAAATTATACATTTATGTATTCTATGTTCCCTTCTTAAGTTAAAACAAATATTTCTCTTTCAGTGCTTTCACTAGCTATTGGGAACCATGTCTGTCAACGGAGAAGTGGAAGACAAGCCACCAGCTCCTCCTGTCCGGATGAGCAGTGCTATCGTCACTGCAGGGGGTAAAGACCAGTTGTCTGCCAACCACAGTTTGAAACCGCTGCCCTCTGTACCAGAAGAGAGAAAACCTAGGAATAAAATCATCTCCATATTCTTTATCACTGAAAAAGGTGAGATTCCTCTATTTTTCAAGGTTACTAGTTGTATTCCTTTACTCTTCTTGTAAGTTTTGGTAGTGCTTCAGACATTTGGATCCAGCCTGGCCAAGTGCAGGGGATTGGAGGAAGGGTTGAAAGTTGGATATGCGTGTTCTGTGAACTGAGGTGTTTTTTCCTGCTTGCACTGGGATGTTTGAAGATGAAGTGCTAAGTAAGAAAAATTGAACAGTTCACAAAGGAAAATCACCACCTATTGCTTCTCATGCTTGCTGCCCAGTTTAAAGTAATGCATTTCTAAACAACCCTGATAAATGTTTGTGATTCCTGGGTGTCAGATCACTTACCATTTCGCTACACTAAATGCAGGTTTTTAGTTTAAACTGTTTTGGGAAGTTGCTTCATGTTGATGACTATTTATGTGGTACCTTGAGGAGAAAAAACGGTAATAAAGAAATAGTAGCGAGCGTGCACTGTGTTTGAAGGAGAATTGAGAAATTAAGTCTCTGTCACTGTACCATTAGGAATAATTACTAATGGAAAAATCTGGAATGCTGTAAGCAAGGATTATTTCTGAGAAAAAATGACTGTAATGAAACTGGACTGTGTTTGTGCTTTGTTTCTATCCTCTTTTCTATATGATGAATGTATATACAGCATTAAGAGTCCTGATCCTGGTTCTCCAGGATGTCTGTATCCATGTAGAACAAAATAGTGAATAGATAGAAATATCTTCTAACATCTGGTATGGTAAAACTGTTGCAGTGGTGTACAAGCCTGATGTTGCTGATGTGCTGGGCAGACTGGTTCAGTCATGCTGGCACAGGTTTGACTGTTTCAGGAGACTCTGCTCCTCTGGTTATGTATTCTCTTGGCTCAGTATTTTCCCAAGGGCTGGAATTTACTCTTGCTTAGCTGTATGAGCAGTTCTTCTGCAGCCATGCCTCACACAGGAGACAAATGCTGGAGGCTTCCCTGTATTCAGAAGGTCAGGCTTTTCATGATCTGGCAGAGTTTTCCGCTTTTGACAGCGGGTGTGCTTTCCTTTTTGGAGGATGGAAGGATTTGACCAGTGTAGTTTTTGGAAGCAGAATAGTTATTTCACAAGGTCACTTACTGTGAAATAACTGTCGGTGGCTGGATTTCATCAGTAGAAGTAGTGGTGTTTTTACTGACATGGGTAAAACCTTAAGGAGATAAATCTGTAAGGAGAACATGAGAAGCTACTACAGGTTGGTGGAAGCACCCCAAAGAGAGACTCCAGGCCCCTGTGGCTGGTAAAGGTGATGAATCTGGGTGCTGTCAGCTTGGTGTAGTGCCATGTGTCTGGACCAGGTTCTGACTTAGCCCTTCAATACTGCAGAAACTGGTGTTTTATCATTATGTCACTGGTCATGGGAGGAAGTGCCTTGAAATTCTCATGGTGAGTGTTGCAAGGAAATCTTGTGGAAGGATCACATCTGCCATCTTCAGGCTAGGAGAACAGCTTATGAACTGATCTGACACTTGTCATAAGGCTGTTGGATTGGATTATTCATCAGACAGTTTGTAACCCTTTTGTTACAGTTGGGGATATGATGAAGTGGAACATAAACCCCACGTAAAGGAAGCTTTTTCTTGCTCTGAATTAGTAATACTATGTAAGACTTGTTTGTGTTGTGAAATGAATTATGAATGCAAGTGGCTGTAGCGCAGTTGGAGAGCTCTGTGACATTTCACAGTGTCTTTACTTCTCCTTGAACGTTTCCTCTTTCCATCTTGAGGGTGGGTTTGTTCATTGCTGAAATGGCCAGGGAGGCAATTGAAGACTTGTCTGAAGTTGTATTTGCTCATCTGAAATTGCTTTGCTAAAGTGCTTTACTAAAGCTTATTCAGACCACTCTGGTAAATGCTGACATGTATCAGAGTTACGGATGTTGATCTGCATACTTGTTTAGCAGATGTCTGTGTACTACTTCCATTTAGTGATGCACACTAAAAATGGAGAAAATAAATTCTGCAGAGTAAAACACTTTTTAGAGAAAATAGTGTCAGTTTATGTTTTCTAAATGTTAAAAAAGTATTTAAAGTAATGTCCTTTACATTAAAGGCAGGTTGGAAAAAAGGAGGTTTTACTGCATGGCAGTAGTGGTTAGGAAAAATGGTAATTGAATTACTTAGTTTAAAGAAACTATCTGAAAGTGGCATTTTTTTAATCTGGATTAAACATGGTGGATTGGGTGACCTGCTGCAGGAGTAATGTAAGCGTTTAAAGAAGTGGTTTTGTCTCTCAAGACTGCAAAACTGTCAGCAAGATGTAAGCAGAATGGAAATGGGCACAGTGATTTTCTGGCACTAAAACAGCAGTCAGAAGTTAGTTGTTCTGTTCATTAGCATGACTGAGCACCCTTACCAGAAATGCCCATTTAAATGCATTTGAGGAAAAAAAAATTCTGTTGCTGGGAATCTTTAGAATGTGTGATTCTTTACAGAAATGCTAATTTACTGCTTGGATTTTAAAAATATGTTGGAACTATATGCAAAATAATCTGTCAACCTGAGACAGAATTTTTTTCATGGGAAATATTTCTCCAGCCAGTGTAAATGTTAACAAATTCCTACCGGAATGATAAATTCTCCTTTTCAGAATCTGAAGGGATGCTTTACCAGGAGATGTACAATGCCACCACAGACCTGTTGCTGGGTAATGTTTGGCTTTGTTCTGTAGATCTGTCTGTATGATTTTGCAAGGTCCTTCCTGGCCAGCTTTGGCCCTCTCTGTCCTCTCTTGGCAGCTTTCTCTAGCTTAGAAGGTGGCACTGGGGAGTCAGTGGTCCTGGGGGATGACTCACTGCAGATGGTGAGGTTGAGAAAATGCACAGTCTCTGCCCCAGGTGTGAGCTAGTTCTGTGCTGAAGCTAGTCCAGAGGAGGTCACGAAGATGCTGCGAGGGCTGAAGCACCTCTGCTATGGAGACAGGCTGTGAGAGCTCCAGGCTGGTTCAGCCTGGAGAAGGCTCCAGGGAGACCTTAGAGCAGCTTCCAGTGCCTCATGGAGCTGCGAGAAACCTGGAGAGGGGCTTTTGACAAGGGTCTGTAGGAACAGGACAAGGGGAAGTGGCTTTAAACTGACAGAGGGGAAGTTCAGGTTTGACACTGGGAAGAAGTTCTTCCCTGTGAGGGTGGTGAGGCACTGCACAGGGTGCCCAGAGAAGTTGTGGCTGCCCCATCCCTGGCAGTGTTCAAGGCCAGGTTGGACAGGGCTTGAAGCAACATGGTCTAGTGAAAGGTGTCCCTGCCCATGGCAGGGGGTTGGAACTGGATGAGCTTCAAGGTCCCTTCCAACCCAAGCCAGTCTGGGGTTCTTTGACATAATCATAAGAGTTTGAAGGGATTATTTAATGACCTAGTCATGGAGGGGTTTTCCCCATAGTTTCACTGCTTAGGATAAATGAAGTGATAGTCATCTTTTAGTAGAGTACTTAATTGCCATTAATTTGCCAGTCAAATGAACTTGTTTGTGTTTGAAAAGCTTTAAAATAGTCCCCTAAACCAAGAAATGCTTGTCTTCAAGCAGAACTTACTAGAGGAGGTGCTGTGGGGCATTACCCAGGACCAGGGATCACGCATGGAACATGCTCTGCCCTGCTGGCTCAGGGCAATTTTTGTTGTGGTTTCAGCTGCAGCTCAGTAACTCAAAGTGTACCATTTGGAGTCATCTAACTACTACATCCAGGCTGTTGAGAAACACCTGTGTTTCGTGCCTTATGTACGAAGGGTGGCTGGTGGGAAGTGAGGTGTACTTGAGGATGGGTTTGTGATGTAGGAGGGTGTGTGAAGTACCTTGGGTGATGCCATGTAGAGCGCCTGTCGCTTCAGTTGGGGAAAAGTCCAGTTTGAGATACTTCATCAGGGCAATTCTCCAATTTGCCAGATCCTTATGAAGGACCTGTGGCTTCCTCTTCCCAGGAACAGGGGGACTTCATGCTGCTTTCTCTGCACAGCTGAGGGACCACATCTTAGATTCACTTGACATTTGAAACTAGTGTTGCCCTGTAATAACAGGATTCCCATTTAAGTACCTAACTGTGTTGCAGATATAATCAGAGATTGAAAAGCAGTGTGGCCTCATGGTGGCCTTGTTCACAGAGCCCTTGAGTGTGTTCTGCCAACTCAGGACTCCAGGGACTTGCTCTTGATTGAAGCTCACTGCTTATGTTCATTTGAAATGCTGCTCTGCTGTTCCTGTGGGCAGAGGAGTGAATTTTAGTCTCCTTGCCTAGGCTACCAGTAAGATCTATGTGTTTTTAGGAGTGGGTTTTTTTGCACAGCACTTCTGAGGGTCTGAGTACCAGCTCCTGTTCCCTACATGTCAAGTGCTCCTTAATAGGAGTCTTCTGGGGAATATCCCATCTTCCTTGTTTTCGCATAAACAGATGCAAAAGACTGGGGAGAAACAGTACTTTCCTTAAAGGTTTTCACATAAGCAAGTTTATTCTGTCCTATGGCGGCTTAACAGTGTTAATGGGAACATTTGACAGTCCATTTGCTTTTTGGCTCTGACCTGTGCAGCCATATTAAAGATATCCTGTTTATAATAGCAGCGTCTTTCCACTGCATTGTTCAGCTGGAGATAGCCCACATGGCTTTTCATTTGTATGTATTGTGTTCTGTTCCTTGTCCTTCCCCTCCTGCCAACGTGAGGGAATTTCAGACAGATTCTCTGGCTCTGAGCAGCACAATCTATGCTTGTCCCATGTTGGGGAGCTGGACTAGATGAGAGGTCACTTCCAGCCCTGACAGTTCTGTGATTCTGTGGTATTCTGCTATATGCAGGAACTCCTGCTATATGCAGGAACATGTTGTAACAGAGGGTGCTGTTTTAGCTGCGCTTTATGTACCAAAACCATGTTACTTTCATTTTGCAGGTGAATGTAAAAGCAAAGCAAAAAAACCTTTTAGGCTGCAAAATAGTGTGTTGCTTTCCTTTTGGGAGCAGTATGGCATTCCTGCCGGCTTCATGCACACTAGAATAAGCGCAGCTGATTCAGCTATATGTTTTGCAAGCCCACAGGCATTCCCGGGATTACATATGCAGTTTTCCTGGTATCAGGTTAGACACGTTGTAGAGCTCGCTGCCAGAGCTCTGCCTTTCGGCAGAGGACTGTGAGATGAGGCCCTGAGCATCATCTTTCTACCTGGACAGCAAACAGCAAGTATACTTCTCTGCTCTGGCAGAGAAAGAAAGCAGGGCTCAGGCTTTTTTGCCAGAACAATAAAACATATTCCTGAAACCTTCCAATTTAACTCCAAATCCCTTTTGAGTAAAGGGAACAGAATGGTATATTTTACATTTAGAGTTAACTACAAATTGTCTTTCAGTTTTATTTATTTTCTCTTTGTCAGGAAAAAAAAATAAAGCCCCAACCAAGCCCCAAGCATTATAAAACATCTTCTGAATTTAATTGAATCTAAGTTGGATTGAGCACACCGTCCTTCTCATTATCTGTTCCTGCTTTTGGTACTTAGTATGCTTGCTCCCCCCTACCTCCTTTAATTGAAATTAGGTAATTGCTCCGAGGCTATAAATTCTTATCTTCATCACAGGAAGTCCTAGTTTGCATTAATTACCTTGAATTGCAGCAGTGAGGCAGCTGAGTTTTAACTGTCTTTAGGGTGAACTTGAGGTTGAACTGAACTTGTCTTCAGTGGTGTTTGTAATCCATATTAAAATATTCTCTTTTGCATTGTAAACATTTCATATGTTTAAATTTCATACACTCAACAGAGCTCTTTGCACTCTGGTGCTCTTAATCTCTTTATATCCTGGCTACCATGTTATAAATTACTTGAATGAAACAAGATGTTGATTCTTACATGAAGTCTGTATCCACTTGAAAACACCAACTGTGCTGCATCTTTAAATGCTTCCATCCATTATAAAGAATAATGTTACATTCATCCTAATTGTTGTAATGCTTGGATTGATTATATTAAGTGGAGACAATAGTACTTTAAGTCTTTGCTCAGTAGATCTTTGAATATCTTTTTCAGGAAGCAAGAAGAAGGAAAAGGAAAGGCCAGAAATCTCCCCACCATCAGATTTTGAGCACACCATCCATGTTGGTTTTGATGCTGTTACTGGAGAGTTCACTGTAAGTATACCCGCCTTGGAGTTGCTCAGAAAACAGCTGTGAGTCAGGGCTTTAGTGAAGTCATTGTGATGTTTTACAATAAAGTCTTTGCTTTTATCAAAGAAATAATTTTACTGTGTATTTGTACAGCATGCAGAGTAAAGAGTCTGTGTTCTGTTAATACTTCTGCAGTGTAAATGTCGTATCTGATGAGTTGGGTCACCTGGGAGAGCCTTCCCTGAGAAACCCTTTTTAGCCCACTTTCATTAGTGGGTAACACTTGTTCTGTTGAGTGGTTTTGTGTTCCTGTTCCTCACATCTGGCTTCATACACCTAAAAGAGGTGTCATCGTGTTGACATGGTGTTTTGCGTTGTGTGACCTATGGACATATGTGCTCCCCACTAAAACCCCATCCTACTTGTTAAGGTGTTTAAAGCTCAATGTGTTATGCTTTTTATAGAGGAAAACAATTGTTCTATTTCTGAAAAATCTTTAAAATGTTAGAAGTATGCTTTAAATAGCCTATTTTTTTCAGGGAATGCCAGAGCAATGGGCTCGGTTGCTTCAGACCTCAAATATCACAAAGCTAGAACAGAAGAAAAACCCCCAAGCGGTACTAGATGTGCTGAAATTCTATGACTCCAAAGACACAGCAAAACAGAAGTACCTGAGTTTTTCTGCTCCAGGTGAGATCCAAGTGTGTGTAAGACATATTGGAGTACAGAGAATAATAAATCGAATTCAAACACTGAAAGAGCAAACTTTTCAATAGGAAAAAATACTTGAAGGCAGATTTAAAACTCACCGGAACTGGTTTTGTCCAGTTGTTTTCCTGGTTTGAATGGAGAAGGGAAGAAATGGAACTAGATAATGCAAAGTAGCAGCCAAAATTAACTTGGAACAGGCTGTGTTTATAAAGCTATAATCTCTGAGGCTGAGATTAACTGATTTCATGCTGGCAATCTTGCTCCACCTGTCTATGGCGAAAACAGCTATCAGTGAACTTGATGTCTCCATGTCGTGACATCAAAGAAGCAAAATAAGTTGTGGCTTCTAGGCCAAGAGCTATGGGGCGTGGGGAGGCTGAGTAAATGAGTGTCCTATGAACAGAGGCAGTTTTACCTAGTTTTCTTCCAAATTATTTCAGAAAATAGCTTAGTAATGAGGCTTTGTAATATTCTTACCCTTGATTCAAGAGACTGCTAAGGGAACAGAAACATCCCTTTGGTGGTGATTTCACATCTCAGTAAGACAGAACACAGTAAGTGTGACAAGCAGCTCTCAATTGGAGAACTGTGTGTGGGTACTCACGTGGGTGAAGAGCATGTTGGGAAATGAATGGGTTTCCCTGCTTTTAGGGGGAGTTTTAGAAATGTACATCTTCTTTCTGCATGGTCTTTAGTGCAGTACTGGTGTCTGATTTGTGACCATAAAATTTTGCTTTTTGAAAGATGGAAAAAAAAAAATCTCCAAAGCAGTCTGTATTCTGTACTCTTCACTTTTTAAATTCAAAGTTCACTTTGAATTTAAAGCTCACTTTTTAAATTACTATTCTGATGATTTTATGTATTCTGCTATTTGTCCTTTTAGAAAAAGATGGTTTCCCTTCAGGATCACCAACGGTGAGTGTCTTTACTATGCTTTGTAAATTCTTAAACATGTAAAAATTCAGGTCTTTTGTATTTGTTCCATAATGAATCTTGCAGTATAAACTAAAATTAGAATTTTGTGGAATAAAAACATAAATTGGGGGAATCAACAAAGCATATTTCACTGGAGCAATAGTATTTTAGCCTCATAATAAAAATATTTTCTTTTGACATCTGTAAGAATTCTTTTATGTGAGGAGAAGAAGACCTGAAGTCTATAACACTGTGGGGGAGACAATTTTGTTTAGTTTGTTTTGGTTGGTTTTGTTTTGTTTTTTACTTTGATAAAAATGTAGACCAATGCCAAAGGAGAACCATCAGCAGCTGTGGCAGATGATGATGAAGATGATGAAGAAGCTCCTCCTCCTGTTATTGCTCCACGGCCAGATCACACAAAATCGGTGAGCAGCTGTAAAGTTTATGGATCAGACCTGCATTTCTCAGTATTTTTACTTCTGTTTTCTAGCAAAGTATTACATTTGTGAAATGAGCTGTTGTAAGTTTTTTATTTGAGTTTGCTAAGGAAATGCCTAATTTCTGAATATCAGTTGGAACAGAAATCCTGACGGTAATTCCAGTTAGTTTGTTGGTTTGTGTTGAAGCTCTACAGTTATGTGTATCCTTCAATCCAACATGGGAGGAGGAGGCTTTTTTTACTCCTAAAAACTATAGCTAGTGTCTGTAACTTTGCATAGTACAGTGGGGCAATGTAGTCTACTGGATTTTCTTTATTTTATTTGCTCCGGCTCATTCTTTTGGCTGTGATTGGTGTACATTTTGCTGCTCTGCCCACTTATTCTTGCTCCAGGAGTGCAAATGTGAATTGTGTTTATTTGTCAAGTGATAGTGTCCCTGGGTTACGTAGTTATATAAACTATGACGGATCTACAGTTTGATCTCGAGTAGCTGCATGTATGTGAACAGCTCAGGAGGAAGTGAAATTAAGCTCCAAGAAAATTCCCTAAACTGGGGACAACTGGAAAATTTCTGGGAGTCTCATGCTTCTTTTCATGGCAAAGCATGAATCTTTTTCCTTTAGATCTTAGTAATTGATCTCACTATTAAATAGTGATTTCTGTTCTATAAACTAGCATGGGTAATAAAGAATAAGCAGGTAGAAAACCTGCAGAACGTCTGTTCCCTCATATCCACTCTGTTCAGGAGGTGCCTGGGGCTTTCTGTCAGAGGTTGCCAGCATCTTGGTTTAATGGACTTTAATGTTTCTCAGGTCTAGTTTCTGCCTCCAACTTGCCATATTAAACAGTGCTTAGGGATCTTTGAAGAACTGTGATTGTTTTCAGCTGAAGGTCAATAATTGCAAGGAAAATGCTCAGGTAAATGGTCTCTCTTAACAGATTTATACACGGTCCGTAATTGACCCCATCCCTGCGCCAGCCGGTGACACTTCTGTTGACAGTGCGGCAAAATCAGGTGATAAGCAGAAAAAGAAGACCAAAATGTCAGATGAAGACATCATGGAAAAACTACGTAGGTGTTTTTTACTTCAGATAAACAAAGGCTTTAGGTCTGGGGGAGGAATATTAAGGTTTGCCTTCATTTTTGTGTCAGGGTTACTGTGCTTAATTGGGTGCGTATCAGTGGCTGCAAGAGCTGCATTTGGAAGTTTTTCCAATTCATATGCTTCAGAGCCCTATTGGGTAAAAAAAAACACACCCTGTAGAACAGTTGTTTTGGATTGAAGTTCAGTTGTGATAACGGGATCTGTGTGTATAATACAATCGTAATAACATAAAATAGTTTCTGTGGTTGCTTGTTCAGAATCATCTTGAAAATAATTTTGCACTATGTTAAAGTTCCTGTGCTTAAGTTGAGATTTGTCGTAACCTCATACATGGTTTTGCTACACAGAAGATCATAATAAAATGGAGATATGAGAGGAAACAGTATGACCTGTCTCATGAAGAGTATAACATAACAAAATGATTGCCTGAAGCTGGGCTATTCACAGCTGGAACTGAATCAGGAAGCTTTGGCTGTTCATGCATAAGCCTATAATATTTGGGCTTGACCTATCTTGGACGTATCTTGGAAGTATCAGTCCTAATAAAAGGGGATAGTGGGATTGACTTTTTTGGTCATTGTTGTTTGTTTGGTTTGGTTTTTTTTAGGCACTATTGTGAGCATAGGAGATCCCAAGAAAAAATACAACAGATACGAGAAAATCGGGCAGGGGTAAGTGTTCACCCCAGCTTTGGTTCCCTGGAGTCAGTGTTTGAAAGGGTGTTCTGTTCCCTGTTTGATACTGTCACGTAGCCACCACTTACTGAAGCAGGCAGAAATGGCTGTATTAAGCCATGCTAAACAGGCGGTGAAGGCTTTACACAGTGATGGAAGCTTTGCATTGTGTCTCTTAATGCAAAAGCATAGGTCTGCAACTTCTCTGTGGGTGTATCTAGTGTTCTCCTCTCCCAGTAAGGTGCATTCATCCAACTTTGTAATATGACTGCTGAATGGCGTAAGGGCATGTCATGGCTAAGTTACTCATCTAGTGGTCCTTTGAATCCTTCTGTTACTAAAAAAAAAAATGTATATACATGTTCTAACTTTTTCAACTTCAATATGCCTAACTTCTACTGTATACTTTCCGAATAGATCTATATGTGTTTGTGGACAGGCTTCCCCTGGGGGAGAAGTAATATCTACTATAGAAAGGGCTACCCAGCTTATCTCAGTATAGGGAACAGCACAAGTTCTGGAGAGTCTTGGGTGACATGGTCTGGTGTGAGGCATCCTTTCCCATGGTAGAGGGGTTGGAACTTGATGATCTTAAGGTCCTTTCCAGCCCTAACTATTCTATGATTCTGTTGTTCTATGACTTTGTCTCCTATATTCAAGATGTCTAAGCTGGTGTCAGAAGAGAGTATATTTGTAATTGTTTTGTTTTGTGTGACCTGACTGGCATTTCTGTGATGCCACTTACTTTTAATAGCCTTCTTTTTTGATACAGCTTTTGCAGGATCGAGAGCTGACACAATTTTGTGTCTGTGATTTGTCTGTTCATGTGCGTGTTTGTTACACTTGCTTTAATGTTCTTCTTCACAGGGCTTCAGGTACAGTTTTCACAGCTATTGATGTGGCGACTGGGCAGGAGGTAAGATTTCTGTGTTCATTGCAATGAAATATAATGGATATAAATGCCCTTCTCTAGGTGGCTGAGATGATTTGATTAGGCTCCTTTCTGTGGTTGCCAGCTCTGCTGTCACCTCTCAGAATATGTGTTGCCCTAGTCATTTCTAACAGTGTGTGCCCTGGTCTATGGCAATAAGATGGTGAAAGCTAAAAATAGTTTTCTTTCTTTACAGTGAAAAGCAGAGGGTGTGAGGTCTTCCAAAAATGGGTCTTGAAAATAGTTTCAGGAGGTTTGAAAACCCTTCAAGAACTGGACAGTGATGCCCTGCATTTTCAGAAATATAACTTTGTTTATTCTTTGCCCACTTGTTCTTTACTCTTGTCTCCGGAAAGGTGATGGATGTGCCTCTGCTCAAACAGCTTGCCGCATGTGATTTTTCATTGTATTTAGAATGCCTTTTCCACACATCCTGTTCCTTGCTATTACTGTTTGGTGTCTCCAAACCCACTTGATGAAATTGATGGTTCCTGGGACTAAAATTTTAGGAATTGCCTGCTTCTCTTTAAATTCAGATTTCCTTAACTTATCCACAAGTAAATATTCCTCAGGTCACTGATAAGTAATTGCCCTTTCAACCGTAACCACATTTACCAGTGTGGTAGTGGAGCAGCACTTCTTGTTAAAATGCAAGCCTTTTGATCATCTCAGTATATTGTCTCTTAATTTGCTTTTACATACTGCACTGCTTCATGTTGTTTTACTGACTGCAGAGCAAGTTTTGCAGTCCAGTGCCTTTCTTAAGCCTCCTCTGCATCTTGTCAGGCAGGTAGGCTATTGGGTTGATTGCAGTGTTTGTGCCTTAAACAGATGCAGTATGCTGCTTGCTCAGTGCTTGATGTCTGAGAATAGTCAGGTCTTTTCATTGGTAGGTAAGAAAAAACCCCCCAAGGAGGATTTTATTGCCATTTGCAGCACCCTAATGGGAAGGTGTAGAGAATATGGAGCTAGACTCCTCTTAGAGCTACACAGTGACAAGTCAGATGTAACAGACATAAACTGACATAAGGGAAATTCTGGTTAGGTATTAGAAATTTTTTTTTCCATCATAGTGAGAATGATAAAACACAGGACAGAGGACCCAGAGAGGTTGTGGAATATCTGCTTATTGAGATCTCTGTTCAAAATCCAGTTACACAAGACCCTCAACAACCTGTTCCACGTTGGCTGTGCTTTAAGCAAGGGATTGGGCTGGATGACCTCCAGAGGCCCCCTCCAATCTTTATTATTTTGTGATTCTGTGCCACAAGTTCTTGTAATGCTCTTGGCCATGTGATAATGATTGTGTCTACAAGATTATATTGCTTCTTGTGTTTGGTTTTGGACTCATGGGTTGGTTAACTTGTAAAGCTTCGAACTGCTGACTGAAAGTGTTGTAGCTAACGTAGCTGGGACAGGTCTCCATTTTAAAGTCTGGAATACTTGTCCTGATTGCCTTATTTCCTGAATAAGATAGGTCTTTATCTTTCCTTCTCTCTCTCTCTCTCTCTCTCTGGGATAGTTCATTGGCTTAACTGCTTTGAGAGGAATTCCTTCTGCCTCCCAGCATTCCTTATACCCAAACACTAATTTGAATAGAATACAGAAAAACTTTGCTTGCATTGGAAGGTTTATATTTCTTCTCTTAGTTGCTACATGATTCTCTTCTGCTTTAGGCTTGTTATATGCTCATCAGGTTGCATTCTTTTAAGTTGTATGCTAATAAATAAATCACTTACCAGCTGCAAGCTGTGCTCAACTCCTTTAATCCTGTTAAAGAATTTCTTCTAAATTTTCACTGTATTAAGAATTATCAAAATGTTTTGATACTCAGGTTTGAGTGATTGCTCTTACTTTTTTCCTGTTCAGGTTGCTATTAAACAGATAAACCTGCAGAAACAGCCTAAGAAGGAGTTGATTATTAATGAGATCTTGGTAATGAAAGAGCTGAAGAACCCCAACATTGTCAATTTCCTGGACAGGTAAATGCAGATAGCTGCTGATTCCTTCATCCCTCAGGGTTTCAAGGGGTTATAACATGACATACTTACACAGACCCAGACTTCTTGTACCTAAGGGTCTTACAAGCAAATGAAATGGTATTTGCTGTCATCTGAAAAAAAAGGGGGGGGGGGGGGCAGGGAAGGGAGTAATCTGTTATAAGGAATGGTCTTCATTCAGTAGGAAGGCTTCTTCTGTCATGAATGCAATGCTGTATGTAGTTGGGAATCAGTGGTACACAAGAGCATAGCTGGAGGAGTGCTTCTGTTGTGCATGATTGTGTGTGAGACATGTAGGGTGTTATCCTCCCTGTTTAGGTAATAAGAAGCAGGCAGCTTTTATTGTCAGCAGGTACATTTCTGGCTACCTTCCAGAGATTAACTTTATTTACTCTTGTCTTTGGGCACTTATGTATCACTTTATTGACTGGCTCTTATCAATCATTTTTCAGTTCTCGATCTCTTGATGGTGAACGGACATGCTTTTTGTTTTGTGTTTGTAGTTACCTCGTAGGAGATGAATTGTTTGTGGTGATGGAGTATCTGGCTGGAGGCTCGCTAACAGATGTGGTCACAGAAACTTGTATGGATGAAGCACAGATAGCTGCTGTTTGCAGAGAAGTGAGTATTTTAGTTGATGGACAGAGGAACGAAGGTGCACTCTATTCCCCTAGGTTTTATAGTATAGATAGGTTAGGACTAATGGCAGCAATTGCTGTTGGAGCCATTGAATTATAACAAATGATACTGAGAGCAGAAATCAATATTAAAATTACAGAAAATAGCAGAATTAGTTTAACTCAGAAAATTGGGAGTTTACAAGTTGTAACACAGAAGCGCTATGGCAGTTTTTGAGCTAGGTTTTGGGAATGTTAAGTGATGGAGCAGATAAAGATTTTGGGTTTGGTACCTGGGTTACCTTGTCCTGACAATGTTAACAGAAACAGAACTGAAGTTCAAGGAAGAGCAGCAAACAAGTTTAGCAGCTGGAAACAGTGTCTTTTTTAGCTTTGACTAGGAAAGAGTTCAGAAGCACCAAAAAGAGAACCGAGTGTTCATATGTAGGTAGTGTAGAAGGTAAAGGTGTGAATATAATTTAAAAAAAAAACAACAAAAAAAAGAGGAAAAAAAAGAATTAAAGCTTTGGAGTGTTTTTCAGAAGGAAGAAGGTTAACTGCTTAGAACATGAAAGTAGATGTGATGAAACCAGGATACTTTAAGGAACACGTACTAAAATAAAGATGAACTTGATGCAGATTTTCCCTTTTCATTTTAGTACTTTTTGTAGTGCATGAAATCCATGGTCCTGTGACATGATTTCTCAGAAAAAGAATTCTCTAGAAGGTTGTAGGTGAAATAATATGAAGATTGCATGAAGTTTTCAAGTGGAAGAGTTAAAAGTTGCTGATATCACAACTTATCAGTGGTTTCTGCCCTGAGTTAGAGTGCTGGCATCCAGATCAGGCTTCATTTTTTATGGCAGAAGTAGTTGTATTATCTGCTGTGCAGGAGAAACTTAGACTTTTAAAACTCCCATTTGACTACATCGCCATGATTTCTGCTTTTGATGACTCACCCAAAGGGAGGGGATGGAAAGCAAACTTGTACATTAACGTGTATGGACAGGTAATGATTTCCAGGGAAACCACAGCTGGAAGCAGAGAACTGAAAGTAACTATTTACTGTAACAGTAATTCACTTTTCTGAAGAAAAAAATCTACTATTGTTGAACTATTGTACTATCAAAACTCTGCTGCTTAGTGTGTTAGATGTGCTTCATTCTGTAAATCAGCGCTATTGTGCTAAAGTGAATGAAGACATGGAAAACCCCACTGGGCACTGCATCCATGTCAAGTTGCAAATGGTAAATGTTCTGCTTATATTAAAAGAGAAAAATCTCACAATTACATTCTTTTCCTTTTATTCTCAAATAGCAAAAGTAAATTCCATTATGTTTCAGGCAGAAACTGCGTGTGAACGGTTTTTATCTAAGAAAATGCAAACCCAATATTAGTGACTTGAATCATGAACATGTTTTACAGCCTTTACTGTAAGAGAATTTGAATGAATGTTGAGAAAGAAGTCTCACCAGTTCCTCCTGCTGAGACTTCAGGCTAAAAAGCACTCACATAATCCTTTATGATTCCTTTGTAGAATTCATAAAATGTGCCAAAATTAACATCTGGGATTTTTGAGACTCTCTTGGGTGATGATGATTTTAATTTATGGGTTTGTGTTAAGCTATCCGAGAAACTCCATGTTTAAATGATTTTTGACTTCATGAGACCTGGAGGGTATTTTTTAGCACAAGAGCTTCCTCTACTGGTTATTTAAAATAACAACTGTTGTATTTTTGTACTCTGCACTGGCTAAGGGTATAAGCACTACTTTTGAATTCGTGTTCACATACACAGATTGTGTTTCCATTTTCTGAGTATCTTTTTTGGCTTGGTTTTGTTTTTCTTTTTCTCCCATCCAGTGCTTGCAAGCACTTGAGTTCCTACATGCCAACCAGGTCATCCACAGAGACATTAAGAGTGACAACGTGCTGTTAGGAATGGATGGATCTGTTAAACTAAGTGAGTACCAGAAAATGGAAAAAAGTGTCTGTTTTCCCTTTCCCGGTAAACTTGGACTTACAGAGTATAAATTGGTAGGAGAGCTGGCAGGGAAATCTGAGGTGAATTTTTATTGACTATGAGCAATAGAAATTCATTCAGTGCTATAAAATGTGTAACTCCCAAATAGCAGGTATTGAAATTCTGAGGGCTCTGACACTAAGGCTGTGAACATATTTGACCGGAAGGATGTTGAAGCAAACTTGTTGCCACATGAATATGTTGGTAAATGTGAAGTAACTGGCACCGTACAGTGAAGCAAAGATGTGAATGATTGCAAGAGAAAAGTTGCAGCCAACTTTTGTTAGTCTCTTCAGGTTGTAATGACTCGCTTTTAATGTTTTGCCCTTTTCATTAAAAGGTCACTAACAAGAAAATTGTACATTATTAACCATTTGTGTTGCAGTCTAGTCTTAATGCTCTGCCAGTTCTGGGTCTCCTTTTCTTGGACTGAAAGTGTAACACACTTTCATTAATATAATCACGAAATGACAAAAGAAACTGCTTGCTTTTCAGGTAATTGTTATGCATGCATGGACTTGTATACAGTGAGTCAATTTCTGGTATGTGTAAATGTGTGTGTGTGGCAATAAAAAAAATGTGAAACCACTTGAAGAAGCTGTCAGGATTGTTGAGAGAGAGGTACATTATCTTATTTCTTCATATGTAGGAATGTGCAAGGCATGAAGTGACCAAAGAGTTAAGGGATGGTGTTTTTACAGTTGGGTAGGCATTTGAAATGCCATGAAAATGTATCTCAGTAATATTCCTTAATCTAGTTTGTTTGCAGGCTCATATTTTTTATGAGATGGAGTGTGAGAAAAGATTCGGAGCAACTTGGTTTGTTTACCAGCGTTGTTGGATGCACTGCTCACCTGCATAGGTTTTATGTTTTTTAAGGGTGTGATGTACCTGTGCATAAGCTGTGTAGATTCAGAAGCTCAAGTGAATAGTTACGATAGAGGATGTAGCTGAGAAGAGTTAGCTGGAGAAGGCTCAAAAATGTAAGAGCTATAAAGTCAAAGCAGATTGGCAAAAGGACAAGGTTAGCAGCCTATGTAAAGAAGCATCAGCTCCAGGAGACTGGGAGAAGATGAAGAGGAAGGAGAGACAGGAGAAAACCGGAGTCAGCTGTAAAAATGTCCTGTATGAAGGGGAGGTACTGTAATCACTGTTGAGACTAGCTCTTCTTTGGTTGTGTGATTGTATTGCTTCTAGCAGTTGTTTAGGGTGGGGAGTGGAAGAAGTTGCACCTTCTTTTCAAGCTCTTCCTACTCTCTGGGAGAGCCTGGCTTCTGAGAGACTAGAAGAAAGAGGTACCAGGCTGCCTGTCACTAGTGCATACCTACACACGCTGCTGGTTGGTGAAACTGTGTTCTGCATCTTGCCTGTCTTTGCTGGTGACATCGTGCTGAAGGCCTGGTTGGTAGGTCAGGAGATGTATACTGCTGTTGCTTCTCTGGTGTGTTCATTGAAATAAGCTGTGCATTATGTGGCGTATGACGCCTGGAGAAAGGCCAAGATGGAACTCGTCGACTCCTATAGGTTTGATTTATATGTTTCTGTTTTATTTGAGGCAGCATTTTGACAATCAGGGTGGGGGTAGTTCTTTGTTAAATTGTCCTCTTGGTACAACTTAGCACTCTCTTGACCGTGGCTCTTTTGTTAGCACTGCTTGGCATAACACTTTCAAAATCTTAAATTCTCTCTCTCTCTTTTTCTCTCTCTCTCAAACTTAGTGTCAATGATAAGGTAATATCTGTCTCCTGCCTTAACTGTGTTCTTATTGATGCTTTACATGCCTGGGAAGTGGGAGTGCTGCAGCTGGATAAAGTAACATGATGGAACATGCATTGCTGCTGCACCTGAAGGCTATAGGAATAGGTGACTTTTCTTGTTTTCTTGAGTGTGGTTGTTCTCTTTGGTAGTTAACCATGTGAAAAGGTTTGTTTGTCCAGGTTCCTTCTGCTGAGTGGGCTAGCACTTCACTTATCTGAAGCCTTGTTTCTATGTCTCTGTCAGCTGTAGTACCTGTATTTGGTGGCCTATTGTGTGAAATGTTGAACTCAATAGCTGCACAAATAAAATCTGTTTAGCAGGGCAGAAGCCATGGTTTGTGGATTTGTTTTTTTTTCTAGTTCAGGCTGTATAACATACCATGTGCAGAACATTTGCCTTCTGAGATCTGCTTGATTACTTTTTCTGGCTATTGCCAGTCTAAGATCCTTGAATGAAGGACTGGGCAAAATACTGTTCTTCTGCAGAGTAATACTTGTGTGCCTGCTCCAGAGAACAAAAAGCTTTATCTTCATTCCATGGAATTCTACCCTGCTTAAACACCTTCAGGTTTTGTATCTATCTTGTATGACAGATTGTGTAACACGGAGAATGTAGTGGGGAGACACCCACCAAACCCTGCTCAAGTGTAGAGGAGTAAAATGTATGTGTAGTATTAGGGAAGTCTTCTAGCCAGCCACTTATTCGGGGTGCACCAATTTAACTTTTACAATTCTGTTACCTTACAGCCGACTTCGGTTTCTGTGCTCAGATCACCCCAGAGCAGAGCAAGCGGAGCACTATGGTTGGAACTCCTTACTGGATGGCTCCTGAAGTGGTCACACGGAAAGCATATGGCCCTAAAGTGGACATCTGGTCTCTGGGCATCATGGCTATTGAGATGGTAGAAGGAGAACCCCCGTACCTCAACGAAAACCCCCTGAGGGTAAGAAGCCTGGATGTTCCTGTAACTGCTTGCAGGTGTTTACCATATGAATGGTTTCAGTAATTGTTCAGTAATAGTATCTACATTAAAAAGAAAATGAATTGAATAAAACAAGCTTCCGCAGGGCTAGAAAACTCCTCCACAAGGAAGATGGCTGTCTTGAATTTGCAGTGTGAATTTGTCTGTTTAGAAGATGAGGACCTGCTTGTAACTTAAACACTGGCCTTTGAACTCAATCTTCTGTGACAGTTTAGGGAAAATAAATCCATTAGGTTATGAAAAATGCTGCTTGTGTCAGAATCTGATGTCTTCTTTGCAAAGGTAAGTATCTGTTGCCAAAAGATACGGAACATTATTATGCTACTAGCAAGAACAGGTGATGACTTGGTGTCATGTATAACCAAGCCAAATCTTTACAATATTCCTCATTTTACAGGCTTTATATTTGATAGCAACAAATGGCACGCCAGAGCTGCAGAATCCTGAGAAACTGTCACCAATATTCCGGGATTTCTTGAACCGATGTTTGGAGATGGATGTCGAGAGAAGAGGATCAGCCAAAGAATTGCTACAGGTGAGGGTCAGCTTCTTCTCACAGTCTTAGAAACAGAAACCACAAGTAAGGTCATCCTGTGATAAACCATGCTGTAGACTGGTGCCCTCCTTTTCTGTGCCTTCCTCTGAGTACTCTGATGGATAGCAGTTGGTAGGAGCTACAGTCATGAAAGATTGTACTGTGTACTTTGAAGTCTTTGAAGTCTTTCCATCAATAATGTCTTCATTCTTCCACTACTAAAGCATCCAGCAATTTATGAACTTGCTGTAATAGAGCCATTGAAGTGAGCAGAATGGGACTAAGAGATGTTTTGGTCAGGAAACCTCTTTGTAGTGAATTACTGGAAAAGGAAAAGCCTAGGTTCTTTTGGGAATCATAGTATGGTTAGGGTTGGAAGGGGCCTTAAAAGCTCATCTAATTCCAACCCCCCTGTCAGGGCAGGGACACCTTCCACTAGATCAGGTTGCTCCAAGCACCATCCAGCCTGGCCTTGAACACTGCCAGGGATGGGGCAGCCACAGCTTCTCTGGGCAGCCTTTGCCAGCACCTCAGCAATCTCGGGGAAGAATTTTTTTTCCTAATACCTAATGTAAATCTCCCCTCTGTCAGTTTAAAGCCATTCCCCCTTGTCCTATCGCTACCCGGCCTTGTAAAAAGCCCCTCTCCAGGCTTGAGGAGCTCTGAATTTGTCCTTTCAAGAGCTGGGCACTGGCAGCATTTGGATTGCTTTTCATACCTCGGAATGAAAAGGGCTGTGTAGATACATGGCTTTTACTAGCGTTTTAAACCATGTCTTTCAGTAGTTCACTGTGTTTCTCTGTTCCTGGCAGCATCCCTTCTTGAAACTGGCCAAACCTCTGTCTAGCTTGACGCCATTGATCCTGGCAGCCAAAGAAGCAATGAAGAGTAGCCGCTAACATTACTGCCACAGCCTTCATCCTTTTTTCGTTTGTATTTTACAAATCTTTATAATATATGAAATTTTTACACTTCTGGGGGAGGGAAGGGATTGGAGGGGTGGGACACGGGACAACACACGTCTGTGAAAGGGAAGAAACTCTCGTCCAGAGGATGCCCAAAATAAATTATGGTGACTCCAGCGATCCCTGTCTGGGGTCCAGAAGGAATTGAGGACTGAATTACTGGCCTTTTTTTTTTCCTTTTATTATTTCCCTCCAGAAACCTTAGAAATGCCACTTAATGTGCCCAAGGTTTTAAGGGTTGTTAACAACTTTGCTGTAACAGCTCCCATTCATTGTACCCCCTTGTCTGGGTACTTTCAATACTTGAATGACAGATTCAAGCTTTCAGAGAGCAGTAGTAATTTTACCTGCTGATCTCTTTCACACTTCTCTTCCTCCCCTCTACCTGTTTATTTTTAAATCACTCTAGTAAAGCTCCCATATGACAAGATGCACAGTGAGTGTGACAAATGTGAATGTGCGTCTTGCCTGTCATTTCATTTATGGATTAGTTGTCAGAGTACTGTAGGATTGGCAGTTCAGCTACTTAAAACATGGTAATGTATTGAAACATTTTTCACTTCTAAGATAAATATGGAGAGAGGAGGAAGACAAGTATTCATCTGTTTCTTATGTGCCTGTGCTCTGTGGACTTTTAATCAAAGATGTGGCCTCTTTGTAGAAACTTAATGATTGGTCAAGTCTTTGGATGTCGGTTTATGGATATGTAGTTAGGGGTCAGATACTTTATTTATGATCAAATGATCAGCTATAGTCAGGGCAAGAAAAAAAATTCCAGCTGTCTTCCTGTCTGCTCTTTTTTTACCCCATTAGAATTGTTGGCCAGAAGCTTAAGGGATAATGTGCTTAGTGCGGTGGATGGTTCAAAAACGTATTGTATCTGTGCTCTGACTTGGGCTTTGGAAGTTATGCTGGTGCCTTTGACTTTTTTATTTTACATTTCTTTTCTTTGTATCAAATACATTTATGTATATGTTGTATTTCTCCCCCCAAGCAAATAATCCATCAACCTATGGAGTTGTCAGAGTTTAAGTATTAGAGCTATTTTCCCCAGTTTCTTATGTGCTCCATTTGTACTAATGAAATCAGAAGAACAAGTAATCAGATCTGAGGACACTGAAGATACAGGATTTTTAAATAGGATTCAAATGGAAGATTATGAACACCTGGAGTTGCCAAAGTGCTGTTCCGAGAAGATGAAAGCTGCTAGGGGAGAACAGTGCTGTCAGATGTTCATGGGGCTTATTTGACCAGCTAGTTCGAGGCTGAGGAGACGTGATGTGTCACACTGACCCTTTCTCACCTAAAGACATTATACCAGCTAGAATGGCTGAAGTCAAACATTCAATGCAAGAAAAAGTGCCTCACTCTGAAGGACAGTGAGTGACTTGAGCAGTTGAATTCTTGAGGTTACCAGGGTCAAGTGTAGAAGAGCCTGTGCCTGTGGCTGCTTCCAGCACTACAGTCTGTATTTCAACTTCTCCAACAGTTTAACGAAGAGCTAACTGTAGTAACAAAGTGCCAAATGATTCCGTGAAATAACAACCATTATTTTAGTGGGGTTTTATTGCATTCCCAGTAGGGCAGGACCTGGGACAGGTAAGGTTACAGCTGGGTATGGGTGGAGGATCCTGAATAAAAATTATTTGCACACTTTTACAAATGTTGCTGGCAGAAGATAGAGGTCATTTCAGATAATTTCAGTATTTGTATAGTAATAGAGAGAACTCTGTTTTGGGAACTGGTAGCCAAGGTATGACAGAACCACCTTCCAGCTGAGAGCAGTTGGAGGCTGTTTGTGTTGATGATGGAGGGGAAGCAGGGCATTGGTGTGGTACCAACAAGATGCCTTTGTTATGCAGGGCACTGCAGTATCACAGTTCAGCGTGTGTTCTGCTCAGGCATGGTAGTAGACTTCTAAGTTGGGTAAGTTATGTTACTTGTTCCATCACAGGAATTAATCCCTCTAGCTATAAGCCTAAGAAGAGAGTTCTGGTTTTAAACTCAAGTGTCTTATTCCAGGCAAGGAAATCTAGATGCATTTCCCAGGCAAAATGTATTGTGAGCCATAGACACTGTGAACACTGTAGTGGCAATGCCCCTGGTTTGAGTGTGTCTGGCTCCCTGATCAAATGAAGTAGTGAGGAGGCTTGGCTGAGAGAAAAAACCCTGTCATACCAATGATTCCCCCTTTGTCCATTGCTGGCAATGGACTTTGTGAAACTCCTTGTGCCAGAGTTAAACTGGGAACTTTTCTTTCTTCTTTCTTTTTTCCTTTTTTCTTTTGATGGCACAACCTAGACAGTAAAATAACTTGTGGTAAATTTAGGGTTTGTTGTTTGTTGTTTTTTTTATAAAATAGAAATAAAACATAAGTAATTTTACCTTATTAGTTCACTTCTATTGCTGAATGAGAATGGTTTAAAATGTTACAAAAATTGTCCAATTTAGTCTACTTAGGAGATGATTTCCAAACTTTCAGCCGTCTTGGCACCCAAAACTTGGCCCAGTCCAGCACTTGCTGTGTGACCTGCAGAGGTGTTAAGCTCTGAGGTTGAGAAGTGTCCCCATCTCTCCTTCCCCACGCAGCAGCTTTATCGTTACGTGGTAAGGTTTCTTACCCTTATGCTGCCAGAAATCAGGGTCAGAGACGGAGCTGGCAGGAGAGGAGAGCCACAAGAAGGTTGTGCTTTTGTGTCTTAGTGGATTGGGCATTGCTTTTCTAAGGATGTCAGCTGGATGTGTCTACAAGACTGGAAAAATGCAAACTGTGAGGTTTTTGCCCGGGTGGGAGCAGATTTATGTCCCTAAGACTTGGCTGCTGTTCAACTCTGCTGTATCACTAGGGCAGACAGGTAGAGACCAGGCAGAGTTTGAGTAGATGATGATAAGGGAAGGATTGCATCTGAATGCAGTCTGGGATTTCCTGTACATCTCACTATCATGTGCCCATGTAAGATCCTGATTCAGAATCGGATACGCATGTGATACATATGAAGTGTAATATACAGTGGAGTGGCTAGTTGGGTAGATGGAGCTGGGCAGCTAATGGCTGAGATGCACATATACAGGCAATGTGTGACTCCTGAGGTTTTCTTGTTACCATGGAATAAACTGTGCTGCTTCTTAAAAGCAGCCATGGCGCTGGGAATGTGCACTTTGACCTGCCTTAGGTGTTAATGAGACTAATTGTAGGCTTTCCCCTGGCTGTCCGGTGCAGGGAAGTGCAAAGGGGTGGTTAGAGCAGATGGGGGAGCCTGGGTCCCTTTGTCAGAGGGGATAGTGGGTGGGCTGGGGAGGGCGCAAGAAGGTTGTTAAAGGTCTCTCCAGCTAGAGTTGAATAAAATAAATGTCTCTGGTCTGTTTTTCCCTTTGTTCTTCATGCTGTCAATGGAAATGGAAGTAGGTGCAAGCTTTGTTTTTATTTTTTTAACTGTCTTCAGATTTTAATGTTGCCTTTTATGTAATTTAATCCCATTATGTTATTTAATTGTTACTGCAATATTAACTACTGTATTTGTTGACTTTGTTTAATAACTGTTCTTTCAGGGCTAGAAATAAACTTTTAAAAAAACATTTGGGTCTTCCCCATCATGAGTTTATACCTTCTAAGACAAAGAGTACATGTTTAGATGTCTTAATGAGATTGACAGAATGTATTTGTAATTAAACTTCTTATGAATGCTTTAATGATGATGGATATAAGTTTATGCTATACTAGTCTGCCCTGTTTCTTTTAAAACTGTTACTTGTCAGAGTCTGTACCAACCTTGGGATAACTGCAAGCTCTCCTTGCTGCCACTGCTGGTGGAATGTTATGCTTCCCACAAAGCATTCCAGGTTGCTGGTGGAAGGACAGCAGCTCTGAAACACCCTTTTCACCCACTGTGGAAAGAGATCCCTTGCCCTGCTTGCAAAGGGAGCAATGCAGAGGCTAGCCTCTTTTGCCACAGTCGCATCTCCACCATCCATTTGCTTTAAGGTAGCCTTTTGTAGTGACTGGGGTGGGACTCATGGGCCAGTCACACCCATGATTGTGGCAATATGGTGATACTGGGGAATTAATCTGAGCAAGACTGCTTTAGTGCACCATAAATGTCATCCATTATCCTGTGTATAAACATTACAGCACAGGAAACATGGGGACTGAGCTGTCCTGGTGCCTGCTTGGAAGACATGGCTCCTGCGTCTGCACTGTCACTGCTGATCAGCATTTGAGCCATAGAGCCTAATGGGGCGAGGATACTGGGTGTCGGCAGCTCACCTAGGACTCAAGAGGAGAGCAGTGGTGCCTCTTTAGGCTGTGGAGAGTTGCTTCTGTTTTCCACTAAAACAAGAAGAGTGCTGTGGTGTGTTGGTATGGCAGTCTAGCTAAAGAAAAGGACGTCTAAAGGCATTTACTTTGGGGTTGAGAATATTAAGGACTCATCATGTTGTGTGTTTCCTGTGTGCTATTGGGAAATTGTCTCTTCCCCTTTCTTGCATGTTGTACAGGCTTTGCTCATACCACTGACAAAGGGAAATGAAGAAACCACTCATCTTCAGAAGCCTTTTCAACCAGACATGAGAATGTTTTGCACAAAGTGCTGTCTCTCCAGGTTAATTTGTTGTAAGATCTTTGTCTTTATATATAATTGATGCATTTAAACTGATGTTCTCTTAACACTGCATTTAAGTGATTTTGCATTTAATTTGTGGGGGGAAATGTTGACAAGAGGAGGAAGAAGGTGCCTAGGTGGAACTCACTGATTATCTGTGTGTTCATCCTTGTGCTGCTTGAAGGAGAGCAGGGTTTTGGCTCAGTGTGGTTTACACAAGTTAAAAGTTGCTAGTCTTTGCTTGATAAATTGTGTTAAATCTTGTGTCAGCTTGCTTATCCCTTGCATATAGCTGGCCTAGACTAAAACCAAGAGCAGCCCCAACTTTTTTGATCCGTTTATTGAAGATGGGTATTTAAAGCATTGTTCTTTAAGATAGTGAAGATGGGGAGCAATGATTTCTCCCTTTCAGGGCTATTTGGTTGCAGTGAGTTGAACTCAATTATTTGGACTGTGCCAGCAACACTGGTTAAAACCAGGATGGCTGAAAACTGAGGATCTTCATTTCTAATTCGTGTTTTCACAGCAGTGCCTTGGGGAGAGTGGTTGTGTTTCAGTGCAAGTCTTGTGGCTCACATGTGAGCACAGCAGTTGCCTGCAAATGCCTGCTCCCGGGTACTTGTACAGCTGCATTTTCCCTATTTTTATAACTTGCATTTTGCTCTGAAGATTTTTTTTTTTCCATAAAAACAGCCATCCTGAGTGATGTGAGAAAGATAAGTGCAATTGTGCTGAGCTCAGCTCCGTTCTTGATGCTGCTTTCCAGATGTGTGGAGGAAGCAGGTTTTTCCAAGGGATTTTTCCCCCTACTTTGAACTCTAGCCAAAGGAAGGATTTTCTTTTTTCTCTTGAGGCAGCAGAGATGCCGAGAAATGAGAACAATGAATCTGACTGTAATTTCTCTACCTGTGCTCTGTTACAAGCGAGGAGGGCAGTGCTGGTGCAGCTTCTCATGCTGGTGTTCCCTTAGTTCAATGGTGATACTGCTTTTTCCTATTCCTGCCCACCAGTGAGCAGGGGGGAGTATCTTCCAGCACATTGTAACTTCATTTCAAATCCCATTTACTTATTGATCTGATTATTGGAACAGCATTTAGGGAGTGATTGTTGTTATTATTTTGTTTATTTTTGGTTTTAGCGGGATTTGCCCACTGGGAAGTTAACGATTCCTCATTCTCTTTTGGACACTAAAAGGCCACCAGATTTCTGCTTTGGAGAAGATGTATTAGGTCAGAAGCAAGGAGGATGGGACTGGAACAGCAGGCAGTATTTCTTAATGCACAGTTGTGTCTCAGTGCACGGATGTTTCTGAATGTGCAGATTCCAGTTTCTGGTGTTTCTTGACGGATTTGTGATAACGAATCCGGCTTGGTTTAAATGTGGATCAACATAGAAGGTGCTGATGTGACTCCAGGCATCTCCACAGAATGTTCTCGAGGGGGAACAGCTACGTGCTTTTTATTCCCCATACCAGGTTCATGGGTGACCTTCCCAGGATCAGATGTGTCCCTTGGAGTCAAGGTATCTATAGCCAAGGATGATGATTCTTTATTGCCTCCCAGTGCATGTTTGTTCCATGGATTCAGTTTTTTTCATGAAGCACAATTAACTTGTGCTTCTCCTTGAGCCATTTTCATCCGGCTGCCTGTGGGAGGAAACCTGCTGCTGGGTTTCCACAGCAGCTGATAACAGGTGGCTGCTTTTGGAAAGCTCTCGTCCACTCCCCTGCACAGTAAAACCCTCCTTAAATAACCGTACAGCTCTATTCAGCTGTGGCTGTTACCTCATTGTGGCTGAAAACTGGTGTGAGGAAGCCAGGGTGGTTCTGTTCAGCTTTTGTTACCCTCCAGTGTTTCTGGAGAGTGTTTACAGACCTGTGGAAATGCCAGCTTGTTCCTACCCCTTTAAAATACTTGCATTTTAAGCTGTTGTAGTTCTTGAGAGCCCTGAAAGCAAAGTTTGGTTCAGAAAAGACACTGATGTCCCAGCCATGGAACGGTGGTTTTCAGTGGCAGTATCTGAGTTTTTAGACAGTCTTGTTTCTGGAAGAGCAGCTGTGCAAAGCTACATGGACTCTTGAAGGGGTTTTGCCTTTGCAGTGCTCCACAGCAGAGCTTGCAGCATTCCCCCTTGTGCTGTCAGTACTGAAGCGAGACAGGAAATGAGCTGCTTGTGTATCTGCCATTGATATTATTTAATCCCATAAAATTACCCTCATAAGCAACAGCTTCCAGCTCCTCTCTGCAGCCTGGGATAAGTGTCCCACAATGGCAGGATGTGCCGTGGGCAGAATTACAGGCAATGGACGGGAAATAGTTTTTTGAAGACCTCTGAACATTTACTTCCTGAGGTCCAACTCTTAGAATGCTTGAAAAGGAGAAGGGAAAAAAAACTGTTCTGTGGGAAGGAAGAGATGTTGGGCTTTTTCTGTTTTCCCCAGTTTTACCATGGATGCCACAATGTTTTCCGTGTCCCAGCTGTATTTGGAGGAAGGGGATGAGAACGTACTTTTCATCATAAAACTAGGTGATCTTTAAGGTCCCTTCCATCCCAAGCTATTCTATGGTTCTGCATGCTTCAGTCCCATGTCTCCTGACAGCTTATTCTATAAATGGCTAGGTGTTGGAAATAAAACAGCACTAATAGAAGCTGTTGTCCCTTGCCTGTGATGGGGCAGTGAGAGGGGCCTGTGTAATCTGCCGGCACTGCTGGTGACCAAGAAGATACTTACTGAATGGTTTATGCTCTGTTAACCGGGAGTTCCTGATAACATGACATTTCCTATACCATCCCACCCTTCCTGGGACACTTGTGGCTGATCCAGCTGTGGGTGAGTCCCCCAGCTCCCTGTGGCAGCAGGCACTGCCCTGGGCAGCATGTGCAGTGCTTCCCAAGCCTGTCAGGCTGCGCCACGTTCGCTTACATGCAGCTTTATAAAGAGGAGGTGCAGAAGCTTTCCCTGGGGGTTTGGTCTGGAGTTTGGTCCAGTCTTTTCCCCCAGAACAGCCTTTGCTATGGCTGGCCTGAATGTCTCCATTGCTTTCTTTTTCCTGGTGGTTGGGGTGTGCCAGGTGCTCAGGCAGCTTTCCAAGAGGCTTCTGTCTCCTGGAGCATATGGCTGCCTTGCCAGAGAACTTGCTGGCTCGTTACAGCTGTGCATGAGCTTCCTTGAGCTGAGGATGCTGGTGGAGATTGGCCCATGGGGTGGTGGCTTTGGTCCAGACGTGGTCCTTACGCTGCTCTTCCTCCTCTTCGCTGTTCATGGTGCCTCTTTTGATGGAGCATCTGCCAACCTGACTGTCTCTCTTCAGGAGTTCCTTCTCCTTGAGTCCAGCCTAGCAGCAACTGCTACCAAGCTGCTGGCCCAGGGTGCAGGCATGGGCATGGGCTGGGCTGTCACCAAGCTCTACTGGTCCTGGGAGCTGACGCAGTTCCACCTCATCCAGAACCTGATAGCGCCAGAGTGCAACTCCTCCATCCACACCGCTCTGCACCACGCTGCCTTTGTGGAAGGAAGCTGCTCTTTCCTTTTCCACCTTGTCCTTCTCAAGCTGCGACAGAGTCACCCAGTGTACCAGGTCCCTGCACTGGCAGCAACTGTCACCTTCTTGAGCTACATAGGTAAGCAGCACTTGGCTTTCTAAGTCACTTACAGATATACCTAATTTGCCAGGGAGGAGCAGTTCCTTTTTCATCTTCAGGTGAAATTGTTACCTCTCGAGAGGTAACAATTACCAAGATGTTTGTTTTCTACTTATTTTGCAGAATATCCATTAGGCAGCAGGTGAAACGCTAGCATATGAGAAACCATAGCTTGTCCCAAGACTGGGACTGCTTTCCTCAAATGATCCTGCACTGAGCTCTTCCCACAAAGCTCTGGGTGGTAAGGGTGGGATTTCCCCATGTGCTGCTATTATATGGTACAAGAGATGCAGCTACTGGCAGGCAGGAGAGGTCGTGGGTCTCCTGGCCCAGCTTTGCATCAGTCTTTCAAAGCATGCAATTGAGACTGCTGGCCATGCTTCTCTTCCTGTGCAGCTGGACCGTACACAGGGGCCTTCTTCAACCCTGCCCTGGCCACCGCCGCCACCTTTCACTGCTCTGGGAGCAGCTTTTGGGACTACATCTGGGTGTACTGGCTGGGGCCCCTCACAGGTGAGATCTGCCAGGGAGTTCCAAAGGGCAGGGATGGGGATCAAGGTGCAAGGCAGAAATGCTGGCCATAACACAAGCTGTTCCTGGCAAAGCACTGAACTTGGGTCTTGCCATTTGCAAGTGTCCTTCTCTGTCCTTCCCTGTCACTTGAATCATCTCTTTGCTATCCATTTTGTAAGTTTCTACCTGGGAGACAGGAAGACTCTCCCCAAAGCCAAAGTTTGGGAGAGATGAAGCAAGGATGTTTTAGGGCAACAATAGGCTGAGCTATGCTGTAGAGGTTGTCCACAGCTTTCCAGATGATCACAGGGAGCTGGGTAAGTGTTGCTTTAAATGTAGATAGCTGAGACAGAAGAGTGCTGGCGTGGTTTATGGCTCTATCTTTGGGTCAAAACAAGCCTTGCTTGTTACATTAAGGATACAGTGGTTAAATTCTTCAAGTAATTTAGCAAGGGTTTCTCAGACGTCGGTGGGGACTCCAGTGGTGCTGGGCTATGTTTTGGTCATGATGAAGGTTGTGGGGAAGGACCTGAAAATCACTGCTGAGCCCTGGGGAGGAGGGTGGAGGTGCTTGGTGCAGCACACAGAAGATGTCCATGCTCTTGTTTCAGGGATGCTCACTGCCCTCCTGCTATTCCAAGGCAACATCCCACGACTCTTCCAGAAAAACCTCCTTTACAGACAGAAGAGCAAATACAAGATACCCAAGGCAAAGTTGGTGGTGCAGATGGAGGGTGACGAACCGCAGAGGAAGAGTAAAGGGGAGAAGAGCAACTCCAAGCCCTGTGCCTGAGCCATGCATGGGGGCCCAAGAGGTCCCTGCAGCCCCTCTCCTGGGAGTGGGTTTCTCCTCCCACCCATCCTTCATCCTGCCCGTTCATTCCCTACCTCAGGGTGAAATACTTTGGAAGCATCACAAAGGAATCAGCCAGGCTGGGCTTGCAGGACATCAGAATCCCTGAGCTCCTTTGAGAATAACTTGAGAGTCACCCTGGAGAGCCCAGAATGTTTCAAGCCTGCGTGACTAGCTTGGTGGGGGAAAAACCCCAATACTTTTGCATAAATTGCTGGTTGTCTTGTATTGCCAGGAAGCTTACAGAAAGTCAGGACCATCCCGTGGGTAGGCTTGAGCAACTCCTGAGTTATTGCAGTGTGAAGTGCTCGAAATAACCCAACTTACAGCCATAAAAACACAAGCGTAAGCCAGTAACTGCCTTGGAAACTTAGAATGAGGAAGAAGCGGGCTTGATCTTTCAAGTTACTGAATGTGGATACTGGTCAAAAATGGGTGTTCTTTGAGTTAAACTGAGATCATTGGATTGAACAGGCTGAATCTGGCAGTTCTTAGGAATTTAAACTGCTTCAGGACAAGTGAGTTCACTGGCCAGAGGAGACCCCGCTCCCCTGTGGACATGGTGCTTAGCCTGAGATTCATGTGCTGTAAAGCATCAAGATACAGGAAGTGTGCGTGGTTAAAAATGAGACCTGGGCAGCCAGTACGCACTGGTGTGGGTGAACAAATGTGTCCCCGGCTCCTTTCTGTGTCCACATGGAGTATTCTTGAAGGTGAAATTACAGTTCATGGAAATTGCAATGAAAATAAATGTTGTGATTGGCATTTGGGTGAGTGATGTCGCTGCTCCGAGCAATGTGGGGGGTGGTCAACACATCTGATACCATCTGAGACACTGCTGAGAATCCCAGACTCCCAGACTGGTTTGGGTTGAAGGGACCTTAAAGCTCATCCAGTTCCAACCCTTTGCCACAGGCAGGGACACCTTCCACTAGAGCAAGGTGCTCCAAGACCTGTCCAACCTGGCCTTGAACACTCTCAGGGATGGGGCAGCCACAGCTTCTCTGGGCGCCCTGTGCGAGTCCCTCAGCACCCTCACAGGGAAGAGCTTCTACCTTATATCTAACCTAAATATGGGTTTCTCTCCACAGGCAAGAGCTGGTCAAAAATGACCATCTCATGCATTTTGCAGAAAGCAGTCAGTTTTGCAGGATCTCTCTGGGCAGAAAGTTCCTGAGCTTGAATGTATTCTGGGTGCATCATGGCTCTTTTGGGCAGTCTGTGGTTTTCATGGGAGTGTGCATGCGATGCTCTTGGTTGTACAAGTGCCCTGCCATGGGTCACCTTAGCAGGCACTCAAGCAGGGAAGATCTGCTTCTGTTTACTGAGGTGCAAGCAGTGAATAGCAAAGTGGCACCTGGTTAAAAACCAGAGAAGGTGTCAGATGCAGGTTTGATACCTGGTGTCAGTTCTGCTCTTCCCTGCAGCCCTGCTTATGTCCTCTGTGGGGTTTGGGGGGACAGACTGGCTATGCTGACTGTAGGCTGCTCATCTCCCTTGCCTGTGTGTGGGATTGCCCTCTGGGGTGAACTGCAGACTGCCAAGGAACCCAAAGGGGGAGCTGGGCCTCTGCAAGCCACGAGACCATACCATGTCCCAGCAGGAGAAATGAGGGAAGGGACCACAACGCAGTGATCTGTGGATATGCCGCAGACATGAAACTTTATGGAACAAACAACACCAAAAACCCATATGGCAAGCATCCCCAAAACAATGCCCATGCATTGTGCTGGGGTGGATGCTCAGCACTGCGAGTCATTCCTGGGGAAGAGCAGTGGGAGTGTGGTCTGTTTCTTATCCTATTTAAGCTGTGAGCAGCAGACAAAGTGCCTTTGGGTGGAAACCGAAACCTTTGATGCTCTGATGCTGGCCAAGGGAGAGCCTGAGATGCTCAGATCCTCTTGTAGGTTTTTACTGAACCTCTTCTGGATTGGGAAGCATGCTGAAGATCCTGATCTTGGGTTTCTGTTTATCCGGACTCATTTGCTGGCTCTGCTTTTGATTCAAGGGTAAGTGTAGGCCATGAAAAGTATGGCTAACAAGTCCACCACAGCCCGTTCTTGTATTGTGCCCTTGGCACAGCACAGAATATTCCTACAGAATAGTGGCTCCAGAGTGGTTGGTCAGGATGTCTGGCTGCAGAGATGCTCACGAGACATCTCCCAGAGGCAGGGGTATTTAACTCGCAGTCTGACACTGTGGGGTTGGCATCAGCTCCAGGATAGGATGCTGAGCCTATAAATGCAGTGTAGGAGTGCAGCATCCGAGGGCAGTGTGAACCACAGAGCCAGGGAGAAAATGCTGATTTTTCATCTTCTTTTTCCCCTGGACATTTTCAGGTGTCTGAGGCCTGTTTCTTGGGCTGCTGGGCAGACTGGTGTAATTGCAGGGAACTCCATAGGAGTGATGGTGAGCATTGTTATTTTTAATTAAGAAGCTGCTTTTCCACAACAGTAGCATTAAGGCACAGTGGAGGAGAGCTATGGCAGGGCAGACAAACTTGTTCCCAAGCTGTAAATCAAGCTCCACAGCTCTGATTTACAGCTTGGTCCTGCACTGCTGCGATCTCGGGTTACCCTCCTGGTTCTGCCCCGCATCGCCTCCTCTAAGGGCTCAGCTGCCAATGGGGGGTTTGCCCTGTTTGCTCAGGGCCTACCTGGAGGAGTTGTGTCATGTTGCACCCCTGGGAACCCCTGTTGTAGCACGTCCTGCTCTGCACCAGTGGACCCAAGAGCTAATGCACAGCCTTGCGTGGACAGAGGTGTGCAGGGGCTCTCGTGGGCAGGTGCCTCACTGTCCTTGGCAAAGACAGCTGGAGAGCCATTCCTGGATGGGACAAAGAGGCTCAGTTTTGGGTGCCCTTCAACTTGTTCTTCAGGGCGTTGTCCTGCTGGGAGAGACTGGGCTGGTGGGTCTGGGGCTGCTTCTGGGCAAACTGCTTCTTGTAGAGGATGCTGCTGTACTGCAGCTCTGGGGTCACCAGCCGCCGGCACGTGTGCTCCATCTCCTTATGCAAGCCCTGCTTGAGGTTATAGCCCAAGATCTTTGCATTGCCGTGCTGCAGTGGGCGCAGGGAAGAGTCTTTGATGTCCTTTGGGGCCACGCTGCCTGTCCCTTGCAGGCAGGACCTCGCCAGCTCTGCCTGCCTGACCCGAAGTGCCTTTACTTCCTGCTGCATGCGTTCCCTGCCAATGTCCCTGTCAATCCTTTCCCAGAAGGTTCTGTTGAAGTAGATGTAGATTTCCCAGTCCAGCCTATTCCAGTCCTTTATCTTCTCCACAATGCTGTCTGGCAGGGGCGACTTGGTGCTGCTGTCCCTGATGTTGAGCGGGAAGGAGACAACGCTGTCCAAGTCCCAGCACAACATCTCCTTCAGCAGCACCATGGACTCATCAAAGTACTCTGAGATGAGAAGCAAGTCAAAGGATGTCTCAATGACCTTCAGCATGAGTTGCACCCGCTCAGCAGAGGCCTCTCCATCGGGGTTGAAGCCAAAGTCAAACGTCATGAGGTTCTTGGCATAATGGCTGTCACTGTTTGCAGGGTTGTAGTAATGGTAGGGCTGGCTGAGGAACTCTTCCAGGCTGCGGGCACGGGAGAAAGCTGATGTGCCCTTGTAGTACACAAAGGAGGACTCCATGAGCTGCACAGGGTTCCTCAGGATGGAGAAATAGACAGCGGAGCTGGACACCACTTTCTGCACCTGCAGAGGGGAAAAGGAGGTTTTAAAGGGGGGGCAGGGAGAAGGGTCCTGCTCGCTCACAGTCCTGTGCTCTGGAAGCAGAAACACTGGGTGAGGTTGCAGATGAGGGGTGCTGGGGTGCAGCTCACCAAAGGAACATTTGTGCCAGTTGTGGGAGCCCCAGAAGAGGTACACAGGGAGTGTAGTGACTAAAGCTCCCTACTATATGCTTCTGCAGCTGGGTGGCCTGTCAGGGCTTGCGTTATGTTCTAACTCCTTGCCTTTCGCAGATCTGTGAGATAAGACATCTCCAAGGGCCCACCAGACAAGAATGAGATGATAGCACCTGACTGCTATAGTTGCTATCTCCTGGCTTGTCTCGGGTCACAGTGCAATGATTCATCAGACCTAATCATGGAAGCTCTTCAGAGGTGCCCATAATGGGCAAGGTACAATCCTGTCTCTCTTTAGCTTCAACCCTGAGAAGTCTACATGCTCTACAGGTTGGTCCCACCTGGCTCCCCACCAGCTTCTCTCTCTCTTCCCCATTCCCCCGTCCCAAGGCATCAATGGCTTTGCCCATACCTCTGGCTGCAGGAACCGCATGTGGTGGCAGAGGATGTTGAACCGCTGAGGGTTCCAGGGGGAGAAGCCCTGCACGAAGCTGGCCAAGAAGTGGCGTGGGTAGAAGAGCTGGTTACCCCCTCCGTTGGGGAAAGCAAAGGTGAGGTTGTGCGTCTCGCCGAAGCGGAAGAGGATGTTCATGACGGTGCTGCTGGCACTCTTGTGGACCTTCAGGAAAACAATGTCAGTCTTGGGCTGACATCTCTGCCCTTGAGAGGAGACTCCTCTGCCCTGCTGGTCTCCAGGTGTCACCTCCTCAACCTTAGGGACTTTTGTCTGGCTTGGGAATAATCCCCTCTCCGTGTGTGTCTTGTGGAAGTCCTCTGCCTGTGGAGCCTGAGCAGGATTTGGCATGGTGTATTTAAGTGAGCTGCCCCACTGGTCTTGGGGGGAATCTATGGCTTGAGGCTGAGGCTTGCTCTGTACCACCACCTGTGTCACTGGTGGTGGTGACAGTCTCTGGTGCTCCTCTGTGGTCATCCTGTTTGCAAAGGTTATGAACTTGCTGATGACAGCACCAGCATCTCCCAACACTGTGGAGGTTCCCCCGGGAAGACCTGGAGAAGGGCCCTCTCTGGTTGCTTTTCTCAGGCCAGGAAGCTGGGATTTCAGCCTCGTGGGTGACAGCTGAGCTTTCACCTTCTTGCTGCTCTCCACAGGCGGCAAGGTCCAGTGCTCGTCTTGGCTGCCTGGGCTGGTTTCCAGTGGGGTCTCCTGGCTGAGGTATGGTTGAGACTGAAGAATGTCTTGTGTGCCCTCACTCAAGGTGGTGTCGGGCACGGGTTTTCTCTGCCAGGACAGGGAGCCATCCTCCCACAGCAGGTCAGGGGTCTGGAGGGCATCCCTCAGCTGCTTCTGGCCATGGTCTGTGGTCTGCTGCAGGGCACGCTCCAGCTCACACTGGCAGCTTCTGTAACAGAGAGGGTACAAATCTGAGATGCAGAGGATGGAAAGAGGGCAGCTCCTCTGCAGCCCACTGAACCCCCCTGCAGGCAGCCCAAACCCTGTTCCCCCAGCTCTCTTGGGGTGGGTGTTCTTGCTGGTGGGTGTAGGACTCGAGCACTGCCCTGGGAGGTTGCCTTGGGTGCAAGAACTTCCCCTCCTGTCTGAAGAAGACACTGTTGGGTGGTTTTCAGGCGGGCAGTTCTGAGCCCACAGCAGTGGTCAGTGAAAGGCTGGAGGATGAGGTACAGGTTTGCAGTCCTGCCTGTGACCTACCTGGCAGGCTGCAGCTTCTCTGCAACCTGAAGCATGACCAAGAAGAGGATGAGGAGGCTGAAGAAGACCCAGAGTCCACCTGGCTGGCACCTGTATATTGCTTTCAGCTTCCTGCAGGGAAACAGACATTGCAGGCCAGTAGTAAGTAGGACAAATGTGAGGCAGAGCGGAAGGGTGCCTTGAGGCTTTTTAATTGCATTGCTTTTCGAGGTAAGGTGGCATCTCCATGGGTGGAAGAGGTGCACGGGCAGTGTTAACCAATGCACCTCAGAGCTGTGCTCCAGCGGTGTAGTCTAGTGGAAATTTCCAGCTGGGACACGAATATCACACTGCAGGGCAAACAGTGATAACCTCACAGTGCCTTGGCTGCTCAGGAACACCTCGCCGGAGCAGCCTCAGCTCCCGCTGTGGCCGCAGGAGCAGGCACCGCTTGCGTTTTCCCTGCCCTGCCTGGCCTGGAAATACTGGCACTGTATCCTTATAAACAAAGAGTAAATCTTTGTTTTCCCTGCTCTCTGAGGCCTGCCATTGGAGGTGATTGCCACCTGCTCCAGCTGTGGCTGCAGATATGATGTGTGGAAAAGCTGTCCTGCCCTGAAATGCAAAAATCCAGCAAAAGGACAAGTCAAGCCTTGCCCTTCTGTGCTCCTTGTCCACCCTCTCCAAAACAGAGGCTGTGGAAGAGTGTACCTTACTCTAACATGCCTTGCAGGTGAGTGTGCAGAGCTGAGAGTGGTGAGCCATTGCCTGACCCAAGGCAGGAGGGATCAGCATCTTACTTGCCCTGCCAAGATCTTTGCATTCTTCTTCCTTTGCTGTTTCAGGCCTTACAAAAAGGGGAGATTTAGATTAGACATTAGGAGTAAGCTCTTTCCTGTGAGGGTGCTGAGGCCCTGGCACAGGGTGCCCAGAGAAGCTGTGGCTGCCCCATCCCTGGCAGTGTTCAAGGCCAGGTTGGACAGGGCTTGGAGCAACCGGGTCTAGTGGAAGGTGTCTCTGCTCATGGCAGGGTGATTGGAAGCTTTAAGGTCCCTTCCAACCCAAACCATTCTGTGACTCTATGTTATTTTTCTGCCTAGCAAGCAGGGGAGCAGAGCTGCCCTTGGAGCTTCACAAGAAGAGAGAGCCCTGTCAACCCAGACCTCCCTGTGTTTATGCAGAGCAGAAGCACTCCTCTGCCCACTGCCATCATCACTTCAATCTCCAACCATTTATCAGCACAGAGGAGCCTACAAGGAGATGACCTCTAGGTAGGATGGAAACACAATTTTCCTTACTGAGGTAGTATTTTACTTAAACAGATAAATAAGTTAAAAATCCACTTACGTGGTCAAGTATCTCCTGAATCTGAGCATGGTGAGCTGGAGCCTCGGCTGAGGAGCGGGCAGTTATCGGCACACCAGGAGAATGGAAAGCAAACACCCAGAGCCTGGCTTGTGTGCCTGCGGCCTTGTCGCCCCTCCCCGAAGAGGACCTGCTCCCTGGTGCCTGCCCCAGGGAGTGACCAGCCTCTGCTCCAGTGAATGGCACAGTTACATGGCCCTGGCCTCAAGGGCTGTTGGCAGCAAGCTGCCTCCTCCAAAATATCTGCCCCAACAGGCAGGGCAGTGGGCAGGCTGTGGACGCTGCAGGCATGGCCATGCCACCAGTGTCTGCATCCCTGCCTTACTCCTTGGCGTCAGCCATGGCTGCTGATGTTCTGCTTTGACCCCTAGTGTCCTCCTGCTCTGCTCTTTGTAGTTGTCCCTTCTTTTCCCTTCTTGCATCCTGCTTTTATGTCTTGACAAGGCTGAGGTCAGAGATGGTTTGGACATGAGTGTTTAGTCTTAATAATCTCTGTGTTGATAGTCTGCAGGTCTGTGCTGCTGAGACCCTGTGCAGTCTGTGTCGTACCTGCATGCCATGGAGATAATCCTCTCCAACGCAGCCTGGCTCCATCAACCCTGGGCTGAGGTAACAGCAGTCCCCAGCACCCTCCTTTATTCCCTCTCACCATACTTGCTGCTCCAGGTCTACAGCCAGCCTTTTGACCAGGCTTTTCCTTCTCATCCTTTCCCTTCAAGGCTCGTCCCAGTCATGGTTGGTCCCGCTCATATTTGGGCACCAGATGCCCGGGGCAGTGGTGGAGACAGAGTACGTGTGGCTGTGACATGTGCCATGAGGACCAGTGGCTTAGCCTGTGCAACAGTACTTGAATTTGGCAGTACCAGACTCCCCACATCTCCTGGAATCAGTGGGGAAGACTCTGGTGATGCTGCTTTCCCTTCACCCATGCCCACGGGTCTCAGGAAATGCACACGAGGCAGATAAGTCACTTCCAGCCCAGACCCTGGCTTTCTTGAGGGACTAAAGACCAGCTTCTTCCTGGCCCTGACCTTGCAGGCAGGCAGGCAGGCAGCCATTCCCCTCACCGTGGCACAAGCAAGCGCTGCCTCTCCCTGTCCACCTCATCAAAACCACAAGTTTGTTGTGGGGCTGCGGTGCTCTCCACCCATCCTGTGTCCCTGCTATCTGCCTCGGCTGGCAGTTTATCTGGGAGCCCAGCGCTGGGCGAGAGCCATGGGGGAGCTCCCTGTCTTCAAATCCCTCTCTACTGTTAGGACTGAGAGCTGGTGCTTCTCCCCTTTCCTTCTCTCTGGACAACTATGGCACATGCGATCTTGGGAGGGCACAGGAGGTGGCTGAGGGCTCAGGGGGTATTCTATTGCTGTAGGGCATGGGCCACCTTGCCTGCAAGCATCCAGAGACTCTTCAACATGCGAGTGCCCAGACAGGCTGGATCTTCCTCCTCTTTGGTTGTTTCCTTTCTCTTGGTTGTCTCTTGTGGGACTTGTCACTGCTCAGCTCACTTGCTCTCCTAAGGACAAGTCTGTCCATGGGGACCTCACAGGAGGTCCAGTTGTGGTATGTAATCCTGGTCAGGATCTCCTGTGTTCTTTCTTGGGCATGACCCAGTGCAACTCTGGAAGAGAAACTCAAAAGGCAAAGTTGCCTGTTCCTGCTGGGATCTGGTGATGTGGAAATTCAGAAAGGGACAAGCTTTGCTGCCCACTCCCAGGGAATTCTTTGTGCCGCTTTGCTGTTTGCTTTTCAGACCGGTTTCCAGACAGCCCTATTCATAAAATGACACACAATAATTTCTGCATTACTTTCTCCAGGAAATCCAGTGCACCACATTATCAGCAAGGCCAACGTTTGCTTTCCAAGTAATTTTGAAATCTATCACACACCTGGCCTCCCCTTCCGCTGCTGGGCAGCCACTGGTCCATTAGTGCCTACCTGAACTGATATGTAGTTAATGTGCCACTTTGGAGCCAGCGAGACATGTCCATTAAATTCATTTCCAATAACTTCAGCAGCTCTCCTGGGACATGGCAGTCAGTCTGCTCTGCAATTACCTGCCCATCGGCAGCAGCTCCCTCTCAAAGGATTCTGAAGGCCAATGGGAGCAAATGTATCTGGCTGGTAAGTTGGGAGCCAAGCATAGACAGTGGGACTGGTACTGACATGCTGCAGCTGCTGGAATCCCACCAGCATGGGGATCAGAGGGGACCAGGCAGGGCTCGTCTGAAGCGTGAATGCTGAAGAACATCTGGATGTGCTCATGTTTAGGTGAGAAGTACCTCTTAGCTTCTGGCTTTGTACGCTTTCTGGCTTGCACTGGGACTTTGGCCCTAACCATATGCTTATTTGTTCTTTAATCTTGGTCACTTTATCAGAAGCCTTTGAACAACCAAATAAGTCTCCACGCACCAGGGGAACCGGCTTTGCCATTTCTTTTCAGTTGGTTTTGTTTCTTTGTCAGAGACCTCTGAGAGATTAGAGTGATCCTTCACAAACCACAACTTGAAGCCTCTGAAGCCCGCAGTGGAAGACCTGTATGTATCACAGTGGCTTTGACCTTAGACCAGATCCCTCAGGGTTTTGAAGGATCCAGGATCTTCCAAACAATTCCTGATGGCTGTCCATATTGTATTCACCAAAGACACCAGGTCACGTGCTACTGGGAGGACTTGCTGATCTGATTGCAAGTGACTGGAAGCAGGAATGAAAGTGGGCATCCCAAGCGTGAGGTGCTGTGGGCTCTCCTCAGCAGAGGTGGAGAGAGGCAGCCCCTGTGGGTGGATCGTGTGTGTTTCAGTTTGCTCTCATTACCTCTTGTTCTGTCACTGGGCACCTCTGAGAAGAGCCCGGCTCCCTTGTCTTCATTCCCTCCTGTGATATATTTATATACAGCTATGAGATGTACATCCACCTGAGACTACTCTTCTTAGGGCTGAGCAGCCTCAGCTCACTTAGCTTCTCCTCATATAAAGGATGCTTCAGACCCTTCATCACCTTTGTGGCCTTACATTGTACTGGCTCCAGTAGAGCATCTCTCTCTTGTACTGGGGAGCCCAGAGCTGGACCGAGCACTGCAAATGTGGCCTCAGCGGTAGTGAGCAGAGTGGGAAAGGAGGCTGCTGGAGCTTAGGAACTGTGTTTGACCTGGGGATGGCCAAAGATGTCTTTCGGACTCTCCATGCCAGGAGTCCTGTGCAGCAGCATCTGATCTGGAAGAGCGGGTAAGTGCTGTGTCCAGTCCTGGCTCTGCAACAGAAGTCTAGCTCTTGTAACAGAATAGTGGAAGTTGTTTTCAGGTGGAGCCTGGCTAGAAAAGCCATGTTGACCAAGGGAAACCAGGTGGAGCAGCTGTTTACAGAGCAAATGCCTTTTGAAACAAATCATCAAGCAAACAGGGTGGGGACCCCATGGTCTGATGCCACCTCCTATTTATGAAAAGCATGACAGGGCACCCAGATTAATGTCCATGTTTCATCCGGTGAAAAAAAACCAAACCCAAACAAACAAAACAGAGCAAAACGCAGGGGAGATTTTATGGTTTCTAGGAAAGCTACAGCATTGACATTAAGTACTAAACAGCTGCCCCAAAGGTGGAGATGTGCAGGTTACCCTGGCTTCAAATCTCACTGAGGGGTATTCCTTGGGTTATGGAGGGAAGCTGAGGGTCATCATCTGAAGATGATGGCCAAGATGGGCTGCTCTGCTGGGTCTCCAAGGGGAGTATCCCTTACATACATGTCCTTCTGGCTGAGATGTCTTTGCAGAGTTATGCCGCAAGTGTCCTGCCTTCTGCCTTTGACAATGAGATCAGAAGAAGGAAAATGTCAGTGGTGGAGGGTGCATGGGGAGATACCACAGAGCATTCCTGTGAGCTCCCTGCAAGGAGGGCATAAGAGCAAGGTGTGTGCCATTTGATGCTCATTTACAGCCTTTTGTCTGAGATTTCTTAAAACACTGGTTCAGTTCACATTTGGGATACTTGCAGCCATGACGAAATGTAATTACTGTGTGGGCCATAGTCAGTGTTGGAGGAGGTGTTCACACTTTAATCAGATCTTTCCATCTTCTCTGCATGTCTTCGAGGAGGGACATGACAGTTTGTTCTGCTCTCTCCAAGTCCCAGCTGCACACAAGCGAGAATCAGTTCAGTAAAAGGGAGGATGCTGAAGTCATGGATTTGTATTTTCCTTTAAATCACAGCAGCAGAGCTGCCTCCTCCTCATATACCAAGAGTATTAGTCCTTGTATGAGGCTATGTCAGATCTGTTGAGAATTTGATCATGGATTCCCACCAGGAAGGAGAACAGCTAGTGCTAGCGTCCTTGAGGGACTTGGAGAAGAAAGGGTGCCCACCAGAGAATGGGAAGAAGAACTGGCTATGTGGCTATGTAGAAGGATGAGCTTGAAAACAGCCGTCCAGAGATGTGGGATGGAGGACCTCTGTGTGTCAAAAGCAAGGGAAAGATGGAAAACATCAGGAGGTGTCCTTGGACATGCCCAGCATCACTCTGTGCTGTCAGCAATGTGTGTGCACTCATATTTGTCTCTTTTGCAGCAATTTCCATGCTGCAGATGCTGTATCTGGTTCCTCCATTCACACTCAACTGCAGCTGGATACTACTGAGAGTCATCGTTCCCTATACAAGGACCTCAAAATCTGGGAGCTTCCTGTGAGTGTTAAATCTTTGCTTCCCCTGGGGGAGGAACTGACTGTCCCCTACAAAATCTGCAGTGCCCATGACCAGAGCACACAGCTCTTCTAGGTGAAGAAGGGATTAAAAACTCGGGGCTTTTCACTGCTTGTCCCTGCAGGGGTCATCAAAGCAGCGTGGCAATCGCAGGTAGCTGCCCACAGAACAGGCACGGTAAGGTATTTCCTGATCAGAGCTACTTTTTGTAGGGAAAAAAGCCCCTGAGATTTGCATTTTCTGTCCCCAGTGGTGCAAGAGGAATCTGTTGACATGCCCAGAATATTTTTCAGCTTGAGGTTGGAACTGGATGATCTTTAAGGTCCCTTCCAACCCAAACCATTCTGTGATTTAAATGAAATCCCCACAGAAAGATGTTCAGGTCTGAGCTGTGCCCATCAGCTTCTTGGTCTGGTCCCTGGAGCTTCCACGAGCAGGTGTATGACACCTTCAGCTAGGAATGAAAAGCTGAGAGCTGATGTTCTGTTCCTACCTCCTCTGTTGTATGCGTAATGTACACAAAAGATAGGGGTCTGCCTCTTCTCCCTTTGGCCAAAAGGACTCTGAACTTGAAGATATTCTACAAGGGGAGTTGCTCCTTTTGGGGACCCAGTGCCTGCTGGTGGATCTATTTATTTATTCTTTAATTTATTT